ATACAGACAATAATCTCAACACTGAACAGAAAAGGTAAGTGGAACACATTCAACACAGAAGAGAAGAAAGCCCTGGAAAGACTCAAGAAAGAAAGACAGAAACATAGTAATCTTACTGGCGGACAAAAGGATGCATGACAGTAATCCTTAATAGCGCCCAATACGTTGAGAAAACTAACACACTAATAACAGATAGACACTACCAACAGATGGCGATACATCCAATGCCACAGTTAGAGAACTGGATCAAAACAACCCTGAAGAAATTACACAACTCAGGAGATATCAGCAAGACAGACTACCAAAAACATGAAGCCAGAGGGATCCAACACATCCCACTTCTATGGACTCTCCAAGGTACACAAGCCAGGGGACCCCCTCAGACCAAATGTCTCACTACCAAGTACGCTAACATCTAGACTAGCCAAAGAACTATAACAGAAATTGAAATACTTACTTGACAACACTACCCACTCCATCCACTCCTCCCAAGGACTCCTCAACATCACCATGGACACCAGAAAAGAAGAGGACGAGATAGTGATACCGTTCGACGTAACAGCACTATTCACATCCATAAACATCGACCTAGCCAAAGAGACAATTGCCACACTGCTGGATGAATCAGGAAGGCAGGCACCCCATGACATCAACATCTGAGAAGCCCATAAGACTACTCAGACCCCTAGGTATCAGGGTAGCCCATAAACCAACAACCACCCTATGACAGCTACTGACAAACAAAGGATCTCATACCCACAACCAATAAAACTAACGTAATATAAAAATACCATGCAAGGACAATGAAAAACATTACATAGGCCAAACTGGGGGCAAACTGACAATAAGGATACACGAAAACCAACTAGCCACCAAGAGACACGACCAATTCTCACTGGTCTCCATACACACAGACAAAGGAGGACACGAATTCGACTGGGACAACACATCCATAATAGCACGAGCCAAACAGAGACATGCCAGGGAATTTCTGGAGGCCTGGCATTCTAACTGGAACTCCATCAACACACACACTGAACTGGACCCAATATACCAACCACCCCAGCAGACAGAGGCATATAAATTAGAAGCCGGACAGAACACCAACGCTTCACCAGATGTGCACTGGCGATGTTACCTAGCAGGGTGCCGAAACATCTGCAACCAAATACACCAGCTTGGCAAGTCTACAACCTCATCCACAACCTGAGCTACAAATCTTCTGAAAACCTTTGAACTCCTGGATTAAGTAGCAAATCATAAAGCTCAATTATAGTCTCAGCTGTCTATTTATGTATATACCCAGCAGGTTCCCATTAAGTTTAAACACAGTCTGTACTGCCATATGTCTCATACAATTTTTACTTGCGTGAATCAAGTCTTCTTCAGATCTTGGTTCCAGTTGGCTGCTAAGAAAATGGGTAAATGACCTGCTCCTAGACTGCTACCGTCCCACATAGCCAACTACCAAGATGCAATTGATCTTAACTCACGTATACTGTCACTTCAGCCTCTGCTCAGCAATTTCCCAGTCTGCTCAAATCAAAACTAAACACGGATTGGATTTAATCAATACTTAGCCCAAACCAATGGCACTTAACGTTAACACTAAACATGCAATATCACAATGCTAAGTCAACATGTCTGTTTATAATGAAGGAAGCACCTGCAGAAAGGAACAAGCAAATAAAAAGAAAGATGAAGTTAACAAACAAAAGGACCCAAAATTAAAAGCCAAAATAATACTTTGGCTTGATAAATCTGCACAGTTAAAATTACTCGCCAAAGAGTTCAGTGCATAAATACACCACTTGCTTTTTTTTTAAATTCATTCACGAAATGAGGGCGTCACTAGCTAGGCAGCATTTATTGCCCATCCCTAATTACCCAGAAGGCAGTTAAGAGTCCAACTATTGTCAGTCTGGAGTCACACATAGGCCAGGCCAGGTTAAGATGGCAGTTTCTTACCCTAAAGGACACCAGTGAACCAGATAGGTTTTCCTGACAATCAACAATGGCTTCATGGTCATCATCAGACTCTTCATTCAAAATTTTTTTTTATTGAATTCAAATTCCACCATCTGCCTTGGTGGGATTTAACACAGGTCCCCCACAACATTCTGGGTCTCTCGGGTATCACCTGCCCTGTTACTAAGTACTTAAGTACTAATAAGAGTAGCTTGTATTTACACAGCATTTCATGACAGAAAAAAAAAGTCCCAAGGCATTTCACAGAAGTGTAAAATATAAATTGACACTGAGGCAAGGATGAAGGCAAAGGGATGATTAAAAGCTTGGTCAAAGTGAGAAGTTTTAGGAGGGTCTTGAAATAGAGAAAGAGGTTGAGAATCAGAGACGTTTAAGGGTAGAATCGCAGAGATCAGAGCTTAGTCAGCTAACTGCACGGGAATCAGAGTCAGAGCATGCAAATAGGCCCTTCGGTCCAACTAGTCCACGCTGACCATGCTCCCAAACTAAAATAGACCCACTTGTCTGCGTTTGGTCCATATCCCTTCACATCTTTCCTATTTACGTACTTATCCAAATGTCTTTTAAAATGCAACTGTACCTGCATCCATCACTTTCTCTGGAAGTTCATTCCACACACAAACCACCTTGACAGAAAGTTGCCCCCTCATGTCTTTTTTTTAAATCTTTCTTCTCTCACCTTAAAAATATGTCCCTTAGTTTTGAACCTCCTCACCCTAGGAAAAAGCCCTTGCCATTCACCTTATCTATGCCCCTCGTGATTTAATAAACCTCTAAAGGTCACCCCTCAACCTTCAACACTCCAGTGAAAAAAGTGCCAGCTTATTTTTATAATTCAAACCCTCCATTACTGACAACATTCGGGTAAATCATATCTGAATCCTCTCCAATTTAATAATATCCTTCATTTAGTAAGGCAAGCAGAACTGCACACAGTACTCCAGAAGAGGTCTCACCAATGTCCTGTACAACTTCAACATGACATCCAAACTCCCATACTCAACGGTCTGCGCAATGAAGGCAAGCACGCTAAACGCCTTAACCACACTATCTGTACGTGATACAAACTTCAAAAGAATTATGAACATGAACCCCGATAATTCTCTCTTCTACATCACTACCCAGGAGGCCCTACCATTAACTGTGTAAGCCCTGCCCCTTGTCTGTTTTACCAAAATGCAATATCTTGCATTTATCCAAATTAAACTCCATCATTCAAAAGCCACAGGCAAAGCTCACCTACTCACGACAACTTCCACTTAAGCAGCATTCTCACTTTCCTTCTCCGACCTGTTCTGGCACAAAGCTCTTCCTCTCAACCCTCCATAAGCAAAGATGTAGTACTCAGGAGGATGAAGGAGGTTGAGGACATCTGCTCTTGGAGGTGAAGGATGAGAAGGGCGCAGAGTGGCTGGGAGAGATGCAGGTCTACACTGTACTGCCCCTTCCACAGCTAGTACTCACTCATTTATTTCAGCCCATAAAATAATTGTGGGGTCCGGGAATGTAGCCCTATATTTAACACAAGTTATTGTGCTCCACACTTGTGAATTCATCATTTGCAGGAGTTTTCAGGAAATGAACCCTCACAGATACGGAGGAATGACTAATTAGGAGGGAGAAATTCTGAGGCAGGTTCCATGCAGAAAATAATATTTAGGCTATGCTGAAAAATGTGATTTAGGATCACTGGTTCCTTAGCGCTGTGAGGCAGTAGTGCTAACTAATGAGCCACCATGCCACCCCACCATCTTTACATTGTAGGAATGGGACAGGAGTAAATTCATTCAAACTTTGGTCGTAACAATGTGTCAAATAAACAGCCTTCCTTCAGGCCAAAAAGAAAAGAAAAGAAAAGAAAGGAAGATACAGTGTAGTAATCCCTTAGTATTGCATAGAAGTATCAGCCACGATTACTGTCCCAGGTCTTTGGAGTTCAACTCAATCCCACATCCGCAAATCAGACTCTGCCTGTACAAATGGGAAAGAGCAGAAGATGCTAAAAAATTAGTGAATACAATGCCCAAAATTTGTTAGGATTCTTGCTTTCAATTTCACTACGATGATATTTAAGAAATATTTAGATGTGCACTTGCAGTGAAGGGATACAAGGTTTGGTTCAAGTGCTGGAAAATGGGATTAGTGGTGGTATTTGGTGTCCTTGCCCTTTTCTGTGCTGTAGTGCTCTATGACTTTACCGTGATCCCTATGGAAGCATAAGTTTGAATGCTATGAGGAAACAACAGTCTTTGCACTTCTGTGTCCACTTGTGCAAAGGTTAAAAGTTGCCAGAGATGAATTCTTTGCTTTGAAAGTGGGGTGGACAAGGAATATTTTACACTCTGAAGAATAATGATCTAGTAATATTATTGTTACTAGCACATGGCCCCTTTTGTTATTTTCAGAGCACCACTTAAATACATCTAAGCGATGCAGTTCCTATATGTCCTTTCTCAGCAGCGTATGGATGCTTAATTGCAGAAGAATGAACAAGAAACTTCACAAAAATCTTAATGAGAGGAAAGAAAGTGGGCTAAATTACATTTACAAATACATGATTTTTTTTAATCTGAAAAACTAAAGGTGGCAGAATAAAAAGGAACAAAACAAGATCAGTGCTCATTTTTCAATGCAGTTTGGTTTGGCAACAAAACAGCATGGCTATTTTGACAAAGATTTGCCAGAAGAAATAAAAATACTATATATTCTATTGCTTGCAATCAAAAATAAGGTAATCATATGTCAGCTTGTAAATGCATTTGAGAATGATAGAAGATTTTAAAAAGTATTTTTAGAACACTAATCCACTGAACATTGGATATGTTTACAAAGAATATTTATCTGATCAATTATTTTGTCAACATACTGACACAAACCATATCACCAATTCCAAAAGGCTAAATAGAAAAATAAATCTTCTCTACACCTCACTTAGTCAGCTTCTCTTAACTAGTACTGTACAAAATTAAAGGAAGCAACATGATACAAATTAAGAAAAAAATCATCATTACCTTCCATCTTGCCCAATCACTTGGTCTGCTTCACCTCTCTCTGGACTTCTTATTCGTGTCCGTTTTCCCACTTTTCTCATGTCAGCCTCACAAAATTCTCTATTGGCTCGTGAATGGTCAGCTCTTCTGGCCATCGCTTCAGCATGGTGACTATCTGTGCTCGTTACTGTGCTTCCACTTGCTTCAGAATCCAAAGAGCTCATTGACCCACTGATATGCGATCCATTGGATAACAAGCTACTGGCTGACGGAAAAGGATCACTATACACTGGTGATGGGCAACGGGGAATACCACCAGGTTCTGTACTGTGCTTGCTTGAAGAACTGCTGGCAGGCGAAAGGATGCATATTTCTTGCCTCTGCTGGTCAAGAGACTGCACCCTTCCTCTATCCACTTCATCTCCATTAACAGAACTATGATCAGACACAACATCAAGGGGATGGACATCACCTGCTTGAAAAAAAGTTAAAATACATACTGAGATAACACAGTGTGGAGCTGGAGGAACACAGCAGTCCAGCAGCAGAGGAGGAAAGCTGACGTTTTGGGTCGGGACCCTTCTTCAGTAATACATACTACCTTGAAATAAATGACCATGTGTAAACAGGTAACCCATCCGTTGAAAATCTGGAACTTTAACAGCCTAAAAAGATTCACCTAAACCTGCTCTGAATCTAGTCCCTCTTGCTAATAGCGAGACGGTTTATGTAACATTCATGCAGCAATTGATGTACCAATTTTCAAAACATTACACTTAAAATTTCAAAATACTAGATACACTGGATAGCTTGGACATTAAAGATTATTTTGCATTTTCGATATTAGGGAAATTATTCTGAAATGTTGCATGGGATAAGGGTAGGAGATGAGTGCTTCAAATTTTATAAGCAACTATCCCAAAACAGAATACACAAACATTACGGCACCAATCCCAGAAAACATCCTCTGTAAATTATGTATATTTCATTTTGGAATACTAATATAAGTAACCCTGGAGGCTCAGATGGGAAGGAATCAATGATTGTTTCAGGAAATAATCATTTGAACCACATCATATGATCTCACATCTGCCTAAGATATTTTTTATTGGTGAGAAATGATGCAGTTCCAGGACATTGGGAGTATTTTATGCATCATGTAAGTAATTACCGAGCATTCATTCTAATTAAATTTTTTGGAGATGATTTGAATAGTGTTCGTGAGCAGAAACCGTGGTGGTGGTGGTGGGGGTTCTGTGTCTGTGTGTGAGAGAGAGTGACATATTACACGTGAAATAATGGGCAGTACGCATAATGTGGGGATGTACAATCTCTCCTTGATTATGAACTTGTATGTGCATGAGCACACTGAGTCTCTAATACTCTGATATGTGGAAATATCAATCCATTAATAAAGGGCAGCTACAAAGAAATATTTAATAATTAAATATTGACGTATCTGATTTTTTGAATTATTGCAACAAGTATATAAAAGAACTGTACAGTTAGTTTGTTTCAGTGATCAGTTAAAATTTTTAAATTAATTAGTTTTCTGCAAAATGTCAAAAGGATAGAGGAGTAATGAAGCCTTGTGGATACAGCAGGCCAACATAAACGTTTACGCTGGTTGCACTGAACCGCATCAAGACTTAACTGCAATTAATTTGGAACAGGCTCAGTTGACCAAAATGTCGAAGGCCTTTTGGGCTATTCAACAGCAAATTGGAAATAAAGAGATTAATAATTGCAATTATAACTGGAGCATAAGTATAGATTATTCAAAATGCTGAAGAGAAAGCAAACGTAGAGTTTAAAAATTCCAAGCCATGTGAGTACCAACCTGGAATACAATAATGGGAAAAAACATATGTAAACAAATTGAAATTAAACTGTACAGTTTACATTTGCAGCACTGAGGACTTTAATGTAGATACCTGAAAAGACACTCACTCCACTTACCCTCTCTCAGGGAAAACAATCCTCCATGACAGCCACCATCAGGAGGAGGCCAATTTTGAGTTGTCTCCACGTCTCTACCATGAAACTCCTCCTGCCACAGGCTGGACCGTGAATCTGGAACCTTTTCTGGATCAGGGATCCCTGAACCGGTCACTGCCACTTTAGCTGGCCCAGGTTCCTGGAGTCACAGAAGGACAGGGGAGGAAATTGTTAGAAAGAATACATGCGAGTTACATGGTTTACTGGCTCTGTTACTCTGTTTTACTCTATTTTTAGTGCAGGCAACCAACTGCTTTATGGAACAAGCAGACTTCTGATCCTGTAGAGAATGTCAATTATTAAAACAAATCAAAGCAAATCCAGAAGCTATCCATCTCTATCATCCAGGTTTCAAGAAAGGCCTCTCGAGACAGAGAGCATTGCATATTAGATAACTATTTGTGCACAAAATATTTTCCCACAAATGTGCCTCAGAAGACATCGTTCAAAATCAGATCCATTATTTGAAATAAATGCCTATGTTCAAGGCACTCCAGTAGCATCCAGGCAGAGCATGTTCTTCTTGGGTTTGACTGTAGCTCAGTGGTTAGCAATGCTGCCTCACAACACGAGACCTACATTTGATTCCGACCTTGGGCAAATATGTGGAGTTTGCAGATTCTCCCCGTCTGTGTGGGTTTCCTCCAAGTGCTCCGGTTCCCACCTACAGTCCAAAGATGTGCAGGTTAGATGGATTGGCCATGCTGATTTGCCCATGTATCCAGGGATGCGCAGGCTAGGTGGATTAGTCAAGGAAATGCAGGGTTACAGGTGGCGGGAGGGGGTTCTGTGTGGACTGCTGGGCCAAATATCCTGCTTCATTCCACACTGTGGGGATTTGATGAAAACGATCAAATTCAGACAATTCCAGCACCAGATTAAATTTACCAGATTGATATTTGCACCAAGTTGTTTCTGTGGGCAGAATTTCCAATTCTGCAGATATCAGAAAAAAGGCTGCTTCTCTCCTTCAACCATTTGCATTTTCGATGCTTCCTGAATTTTGGCATTTTATCTATCAAGATGAATTAGCTTTTACCAGGAATCTAGGTCCAGGAACATCAAAGAACCAATACTCTCCCGGTTCCAGGGAGGGAGGAAGATTTGGGTGAGAGCAAACTCAGACATTCTCGTCATATGATTTCATGCCTCTGTCTGTCCTTCATATTCCCATTGTAATACATCCACTGGTATTTCCAAATCAAATAGGAAATGAACAAAGTTCTTGCTAACTGGACTCACCATAATCTGATATTTATGATTCTTGGCTCAAACATTTTTTTTTTTAAAATATCCCCAATAAAAACTTTTCTTCAGGTCATTTACAGCAGTTTCCAGGTTATTAATTTTTTTTAAAGAGACAACCATTTTTAAATATATAAACCAAGTTTCTTGTGCAAATAGGCAACTTGTTTTTCAATACATGATATGCCTGATTTCTTTTGTACATAACAAAAGAATAAGATCACTGTTCAGCAGAGAGTTCTATAATGCCCTAAGCTTGTACATCAATTAAAGCAAAGCTTTGTAATCAATTTCTGGGTTATTCCATGATATAAGCTTTTAAAAAATATTACCATGAATGGAATAAAACAGACTGCAATTTATACAGTAGCGAAATGGGTCTATGTTTGCAGGTCTATGTCTGGCAGATGTCACTTAGTTTCATGCACATGACTATCATGGTGCAACCATATGTCAAAGCTCGAACCTAATTTGGTTCTGGACAGACAAAACTATACAAAATCTGAAAGAGGAATCAAATTACCCAAACTCACCAACTTCTAATTTTACCAGAAGCAGGTTAATGGCTGGTAATTAATCTGTCATCATGAGATGAGTTGGCTATTGAAGCCTTTTTAAGGCATGTGCCATACCTTTATTTTAACAGGTTTTCTCGTTTCAAACCATTTTAATTTAGGACATCTGACAGTTAAAAACATGAGAAGAACTGAAGTCATCAGACAAGTACCTTCACAGCACTCTTTCTGGGCCAAGAGTAGCTGGAGTGTTTTCTCCGGGTCCAACGAGCTAACTTGTATACCAAATACCATTACAAACACTCTCCAAAACCCATCCGAACAGAGACTTCCCCATCTCCAACTCAACACCATGCTCTCACCAAATCTGTCCTGAACCCCCTTCCACCACACTCAAATCTCTCAACCAACCTAAGCACACCCCATTCCCCAGTCCTTCATTGCTGTCTGGAGGTAAACCACAAAGCTGCAGCCATTTTTGAATGTTTTGCCTTTCAAAAGCCAGTCTGACCCCAGACTCTGTTTAATACCCATCGCTATCACGACAGGTTTTTTTTTGAAAACACAGACTCGCTGGTGATTTAATTCAAGGGTCTAAAATACTGAATGCAACAGACAGCATCTGTGTGGATTGAATTGATTGGGTTAGGAAAAAATGAGAAATCATGTATATTAAGCTAATCAATCATTAAAAGTAGGTTAAATGCAAGGTGGCTTTACTTACACAGATAATTGCTGAATCTTGGTAATGACTGCAGATTCACCGAGCTTGTCAGGTTCTTTTGCTGCCACAAATGAAAAGGTAGGTGGAAAGATATGTGACCACCTAATGTTTACTATGATCACCTGAAGTAGTTTGTAATTGGCAGGAAAAGGTCTTGCAAATCTGACTGGTGAAGCCAATGAACAAGCTTAAGATTTAAAAACAAATCTGCACTACCATTCTTTTCAGGTTCTAACTTGATAGATAGTGAGCAAGGAGTGGAAACGAAGTCGGTGTTAGAGAAAACAACACGAGTAATATAGCACGTGAGCTGTGTTAGTGCTATTTGAAACAGGCTTGACAAACCTGTCAGTCTTCACTTGTCATTTCTTTTCTTGCACACTGAAAGAATCACACATGCTGAAAATCAGAAATAAAAACAGAAATTGCTAGAAAAGTTGAGCAGGTTTGGCAGCATCTGGGAAGAAAAATCAGAGTTAATGTTTCAGGTCGAGTGATCCTTCCCATCACTTCTGAGGAAGGGTCACTTGACCCAACATGATTACTCTGATTTCTCTCCATAGATGCTGCCAGACCTGCTGAGCCTTTCCAACAATTTCTATTTTTGTTTCTTTTCCTACTTTTGTATACTTCTCTTTTGTTAAAGCTACATGACATGTGCAATTTATGAATTTCAAAGTACTTTTCAAAACAGTCCTCACTTGAGAGGCTTTCAGTTTTAATGCAATCATCTCAGTCATGCCAAGTGTTTTGCATTTATTCTTCTCCAGAATGAAACATCAGTTCACCTATTATGGGGACCAATGCCTGCGGCCATCATGATATTCATTGGTTTGGACGACCTACCTGAATAACTAAAGATAGTAGGGAGAAAAATAAAGACGAGAAAGGAGGCATAAGGCATTCGTGTAGTTTGGCGTTTGTTGGTAGCACAGACACAGTGGGCCAAAGGGCCTGTTTCTACATGGTATGACTCTTACTTTAAGTCTTCATTTACCTAATCTTTTTTGTCCTTTCCTCTTCAAACTTAGTTGCATCGTACTGTACTGTGGTCCTCAGCCATTTAGTTTCAGAAACAAAATAAAATTCAAAGTTCAATGGCTCAATAATTACTGGGAACTACATGATGTTGTTCTTTGCTGTAAATATCTAAATTAAACTAGCCTGGGAGGTTGTTTGGAATGACAAAGATCAGTAGTACTATGCAGGTTTAATTATCAGATAATATTACTGAATCACTGTCATTCTCTCTGCAAAATTCATCATCTTACAGGCTATTAAAATTAATGATCAGAATAATCAACAATATTGTGAATAAAACATGCTTCATTTTAAAATGGGAGAATCCAGTCATCATTATCTTTTCACGTTAGTATAATAGCATCATCATGCTCATGTATTAGGGCATAAATGTCATAAGCAATTTTGTTTCACTTTATTTATTCGAAAAAGCCTGAAATGTTTTGTAATCTAAAATAACAAAGAATAAGATGAACAAACAAGGTGAGCATAACAAAGTTAAATATTTTTACTTTTGTTGGAAAAAACAGTGCTTCAAGAAGAGACAAAAGAGCCACTTCACCTATGATTCATCCACTTAAACAACTTAGATGATTAGACATATGACGAAGGAGCTGGGTTCATTCCCCAGGTAAATTAAATTTGCAGCTTGGTGGGAAGTGAACAGAAAGTTGACACACAGTTAAATTTCCTGATTGCTATCTCTAGAGGTCAGTGTTGGTAAAATTCTGCTGCATATTGATAGCCGTGGTGATGGCAACACCCTGGAGTTTTCTACGGGTCTTCAAATCCAGCAACTGCCTGTACCTTTTGTCCACAGAAATCAGCATAGTCAAGGCATCAGGCTCACCACATCATCGCACATCTCAGACTAACTTGTAATACAGCTCAGCACTCAATGGCACCTTACATTGCAAAACTGCTGCAAGGTCACTTTGTACATCAAGACAGGCATCCACCTCATTCGCTGTAAATGGGTGCATCTCAGGACTCCTACCTTTCTTTATTAAGCGCTCATTTAGACGCTCACAGCATCTCAACCTCACCTGGCCTTTATGTGCATTGCCATTTCATTCAGAACACAAAAGCTCACAGTACTTTTGTTCTACCTTGTCTTTTAGCACAGAGAAACCCAGGCAGCTTATCTTCATTGGCAGCAGTGAATAGACAAGGGAGCGGATATGATGCAGTATCACTTACATTACCTCAATGTCATGTCTACGGCATGTGGGTGAGCTGTTTTTTGGGTGGGGAGGGGGGGAAAAGAGGTACTAGTATTCATTTCGCATTTAAAATCTCCTAGTATACTCCGGCAACATTCAAATATATGTAGCACAAGCCATAAGGTTTTTGTCAGATGTCAATGTAGAGGATCCCACAGCCGTCCTTATCAGAGGTCTCTACGTCCTACTGGTAAGTCTTATTTGTGTCTTCTGTGACTGCTATAAGGTTACATAACTAAAAAAAAGGTGTTTTGTTTCTGATATTCACAAGTTCACTGCCACCGCCTTGAATGCAGCCAGACACAGCAGTTATCATTGCTGTGGGCAAAGAAACTGACCTAGCATAAAGTGTCAGCTAGCCAAGATCCAGCAGTAATCTCACAGAGGGGTCGCAGTAGAAGCTCTCCTCAGT